GGGACTGACCCGCGATTTGCAATTCCACTTTAGCACACACTGCACACACCCTGGATCCAAGACCACATCCCCCTCGAAACAACGCCCTGCAACGGTGCGAGTTTGTATTCTGAAAGGCCAGTCTCCCTACTGAGTGACGACCTCGAACCCCGATCACTCCATCACTTGTCTGTCGACTTGCACTCCTTTTTTCCCATGATACCCTGAGTGCACGACAACCCGAACCTTCCTCTCCTTTTCGTTTCGCCCCTCACTCTCCCTCCTCTTCTCTGTCTTCCCCTCCAACCTCGAAGCCTACACCCCTCCCTCACAGCGAAAAAAATGCCGAACACATCTCTGCGGCGCCCGCAAAAGGGCTACCGCCGCGGCGGCAAAGTCGCCTTCCACGGCGGCCGTTCCACGAAACCCCGAACCTTCGACGCCTCCTCCCGCGCCGAGGCCACCTCCGCCGACGAGCGCTGGGAGCGCACCCGCCTGAGCAACACGATCGACGAGGCCATGGGCTTCGCGCGCCACGAGGGCGGCGGCCGGCGGCGCGAGGGCTGGCTCGTCAACGTGCAGCCCACGGCCGTCGAGGACGACCGGAACCCCGGCGGCCGCGCCGCGCTCGACTGTTACTTCATGGAGGACGACGGCGCGACGTTCAAGGCGACGGTCGAGTACGAACCCTACTTCCTCGTCGCCGTTAAAAAGGGGCCGCGAGAGCGAGGTCGAGGAGTGGCTCAAGCGCGTGCCGGCGACGGGCTGCGTCAAGACGATCAAGAGGATCGAGAAGGAGGACCTGAAGGTGCCGAACCACTTTGCTGGGCTACCGACGGCCGTTCTTGGGGCTGCGCTTTCTCAACGTCAACGACTTGCTGGCGGCGCGCAGGGACATTTATGCCTATTGCCGGCGGAAGAAATAAGAAGAAACGTGGATGTGATGGAGGCGTATGCAGAGGTTGCCACGTAAGGCCCCCCCTCCCCCCTGCAACTGCTCTTCGAGGGGTCTGGAAATGCTAACATTTTGGCAGGGCGAACGGCGACATTGACCTTTTTTGACGATTCACGAGAAGATGATAGACGAGCGAATGCTTCTTTTGCCGATGCGAGCGACTTTATAGTCGATATTAGAGAGTACGATGTGCCCGTACCATGTACGAGTAATGATTGATTTGAGTATGGACCTTCGGCAATGGCTTGACAACCAAGGAGATGCTAACGAACAACAGATATACGAGTGGGAAAATGGTACTTCGTGGACTCGAAACACGGCATTACATCCGTCATATGCAACGAGGAGCGACTGGCCATGGCCGACCCCGTCGTCATGGCCTACGATATCGAGACGTCGAAATTGCCCCTGAAATTCCCTGACGCCGCCACGGACCAGATCATGATGATATCGTACATGATCGACGGCCAGGGTTTCCTGATTACCAATCGCGAAATTGTCTCTGAAGACATTTCGGATTTCGAATACACGCCAAAACCCGAGTACCCAGGTGCATTCATGATTTTCAACGAGAAGGACGAGAAGAATGTCATCGAGAGATTCTTTGAGCACATCAAGGAGGCCAGACCAACTGTCATTGCAACGTACAACGGTGACTTTTTCGATTGGCCCTTTGTGGAAACGAGAGCCAGCTTCCACGGCATCGACATGTACCAGGAGATTGGCTGGAAGAAGAACAGTGAGGATCAGTACCAGTGCAGCTATGGCGTGCATATGGATTGTTTCCACTGGGTCAATCGTGATTCATACCTACCACAAGGATCGCGAGGTCTGAAAGCTGTCACAGTCGCGAAGCTCGGATACGACCCAGACGAGCTCGACCCCGAACTCATGACGCCCTATGCCGCTGAACGACCGCAAACCCTGGCAGAGTATTCCGTTTCCGATGCTGTTGCGACCTACTACCTGTATATGAAATACGTCCACCCCTTCGTCTTCTCCCTCTGCACAATTCTGCCGCTGGGCGGCGATGATACGCTGAGGAAAGGTACCGGCACACTTTGCGAGATGCTGCTGATGGTGCAGGCGTATGAGAGGAAAATCGTGCTTCCTAACAAGCACATGGCGCCAAAAGAAGCCTTCTGGGATGGCCACTTGCTCGATTCCGAAACTTATGTTGGTGGTCACGTCGAGAGTATAGAAGCTGGTGTGTTTCGGGCCGACATACCAGTCAATTTTGCCGTGGACCCGACAGCAGTGGACGAGCTGCTCCATGACCTTGATTCAGCGCTACGGTTCACCATCGAGGTTGAGGAGAAAAAGTCCATGGCTGATGTCGAGAACTACGAGGAGGTCAAGGCACAGGTAGCTGCACGACTACAGGCTCTCAAGGAGACACCAAATCGCATGGAGCGACCCCTCATCTACCACTTGGACGTTGCTTCCATGTATCCCAACATCATGACGACCAATCGACTGCAGCCCGACTCCATGGTCCAGGAATCCGATTGTGCGGCTTGCGACTTCAACAGACCGGGCAAGACCTGCGATCGACGTCTGCCATGGTCGTGGCGAGGAGAGTACATCCCTGCGAAGAGAGACGAGTACAACATGATCCGAAATGCGCTGGAAAGTGAAAAGTTCCCTGGGAAATATCCCAACTCGCCCATGCGACCGTTCCAAGACTTATCACAAGACGAACAAACGGCTCTCATCAGGAAACGTCTGCAAATGTATTCGCAGAAGATCTATCATAAGATTCACGACTCCACCATTATAACCAAGGAAGCCATCATCTGCCAGCGAGAGAACCCGTTCTACATCAACACGGTGCGCGACTTTCGTGACCGTCGTTACGACTACAAAGGAAAGGCGAAAGTCTGGAAGGGGAAAACAGAGGCCCTCAAGTCCTCCGGAGCAAGCTCCACTGAGGTTGAAGCAGCGAAGAAGATGATCATCTTATTCGATTCGCTACAATTGGCCCACAAGGTCATTCTCAATTCCTTCTACGGCTACGTTATGCGAAAGGGTTCGCGATGGTACTCGCTCGAGATGGCTGGTGTCACATGCTTGACCGGCGCCACGATTATTCAGCTTGCTCGTGGCCTTGTTGAGCGTCTTGGCCGTCCATTAGAGCTGGATACGGACGGTATCTGGTGCATGTTGCCTGCCACGTTCCCGGAGAACTTCTCGTTCAAGATGAAAGGCGGAAAGAAGGTCACTGTCTCGTACCCCTGTGTCATGTTGAACCATCTTGTCCATGCCAAGTTCACGAATCACCAGTACCAAACCCTGGTTGACGAGAAGACGTTCAAGTATGAGACGCACAGCGACAACTCCATCTTTTTCGAAGTCGACGGTCCATACAAGGCTATGGTCTTGCCAACTTCAAAGGAAGAGGACAAGAACTTGAAGAAACGTTATGCTGTCTTCAACGACGATGGAAGTCTCGCAGAGCTCAAAGGTTTCGAAGTCAAGCGCCGAGGTGAGCTGAAGCTCATCAAGATCTTCCAGCAACAAATCTTCAAATTCTTCTTGGAAGGCACAACGCTGGCCGAGTGTTATACGGCCGTTGCAAAGGTGGCTAACCGCTGGCTTGATATCCTTCACAGCAAGGGCGCATCACTCGAGGACGAGGAGCTGATGGAGCTGATTTCGGAGAACCGAAGCATGTCCAAAACATTAGAGGAGTATGGCTCGCAGAAATCAACATCCATCACAACGGCCAAGCGCTTAGCCGACTTCCTGGGTGAGCAAATGGTCAAAGACAAGGGTCTGAACTGCAAATTCATCATCTGCGCAAGACCAAAGAATGCACCTGTCACAGAACGAGCCGTGCCTGTAGCAATCTTTTCTGCGGAGGAGCAGACGAAACGGGCGTATCTCAAGAAGTGGCTCAAAGAAGAGCCCGCTGACACTGATCCTCGGGCTCTTCTCGACTGGGACTACTATCTCGAGCGTCTGGGCTCCGTCATTCAAAAGCTCATCACCATTCCTGCCGCACTGCAGAAAGTCCGGAACCCAGTGCCTCGAGTGCCTCACCCCGACTGGCTTCAGCGCAGGATTAACATCAAGGACGACAAGATGAAGCAGAAGAAGATGACAGATATGTTCACCAAGGGACCCCTTGAAGACATCACAAATCTGAATGGCCGTGGTGCAGAAGATATGGAAGATTTCGGCACGAAGCTGCTCAAGCCCAAGACTGTAACGTCCCTCGTTGCAGCATCGCAGTCTGCAGCAACGTCGCAGAAAAGAAAATCCCCCGAACCGACAGAATCACTAGATCCTTTCGCTGCGTTACCCAAGACTATGCCTTTGCCTTCAGAGGACTACCCTGCTTTCCTCGAGTATCAGAAGCAGAAATGGAAGATCCAGAGACAAGCACGCATTCAACGACGCAAACTGTTTGGCGACAGACGCAACAATATGCAGACAACATCCAGACAACGTTCATGCACCAAGCTCACAACACATTCACCAATAACTGGCACTTGTTACACTTGAAAACGACGGAGACACCGGGTGTCGTTAACGCCTACGTTCTCATTCATGCCAAGATTCACACAGTCAAGATCAAGGTGTCACGCGTGGTGTTTCTCAATTTGAAGAGCAATGACATGCCTGATGTCGATATTGCCGGGTGTGAAGTAGAACAGGTCAACCATACCCTTCCCAACGGCCATTCATCAACACACCTCTTCAAGCTGATGGTGCCCGAGGACGTCTACTTCAACGAGGCTGACAGCTTCTCCACACTGTTCAACCACCCTAGTGTGGAAGGTGTTTACGAGAAGAATTTGCCCCTCAACATCCGTGCCGTACTTCAGCTTGGCAACATATGTACTGTTGATGAGACCAAGGATGGGGTTCTTGGCAAAGGTCTTGACGAGGGCTTCGATCTTGTCGGTTTGATGCGACCTCTGCAACCCAAGCCGTATCTAGAAGCCTCTCCCCTAGCCTATCTTTACATTTCCCAGATCTCCGCAGGCGAACGCCAAATATTCGGTCTCTTCTCCACAACCACCAGCCAAGCACACATCGTCATCCTGAACAAGAGTAGAGACTCGGGACAAGAGCTACCAAATGTTTCCAGGATATACGCAGATGCGCTCAAGCAGCGCGGGCAAGAAGCGGAAGGCACTAACTGGCAGGAGTGCTTCCCGTACCAGGAGAAGCTCAATTTCAAGATCACTCAAGTCACGACACGGAGGAAACTTCACCTTGAACTCGGCGACATTGTCAAGAAGCTGCGTAAGGATGAGGTCAAACCGCTGATGCTCGTCATTCAATCATCACAACGGAACCACTTGATCTCGGAAGTACCCGTCCTCAGTGAATTCCCCGTCCTTCCTTTGAAGTACGACACGACCGACAGCTCGCTGCCGCCCCTCGGCTGGCAGACTGTTGCAGCCAGAAGGCTTGTAGGCCACTACCTTGGTCTGGGATCATGGGTTATGCATCTTATGTCTCTCGCGAGATACGGCGATGTCCCTCTTTGCAACCTGGAAAGGGACGATCCACGGTTCTTGATCGACATCGCCTACGCCAGGCGACTTCAAAATAACAATGTCGTACTGTGGTGGTCCGCCAGCCCACGTCCGGATCATGCTGGCTACGAAAAGGACGATGTCACGGGTCCCCTCGAAACAGTTTCGATGCCAAACGTCAACAAACCCGGCACTTTCGCTTCTGTCTGCATCGATCTTGAGGTTCGCAATTTGGCCATTAATACGATTCTGACCTCCTCTTTGATTAATGATCTCGAGGGTGCGGACTCTGTGTCTTTTAACCCTGCCGCGGACGCTGGAGCAAACGCTGATGAGGTCATCTCGTTTGATAATGCGTTTGCCAACGCAGGTGTACTGGTTCTGCGAGAAATGGTCAAGGCGTGGTGGGTAGAGGCCTGCAAGGGCAACACCATGGCCGATGTCATGGTGCAGCATCTTGTGCGTTGGGTTGAGAGTCCTGATTCCTTCCTCTACGACCGCGCACTGCACTACTACGTGCAAATGATGTCGCGCAAAGCCTTTCAGCAGCTTATGGGCGATTTCCGCAAGGTCGGTAGCCAAGTCATCTTTGCCAACTCGAATCGTTTGCTTTTGCAGACCACAAAAGCCGAAGTCGGAACCGCGTACGCCTACAGCAACTACGTCATCAAGTCAATAAAGAGCAAGCCCCTGTTCCATTTCATTGATCTCGAGATCAAGGAGTACTGGGACTATCTTGTCTGGTATGATGAGTTCAACTACGGAGGCAAGGCGTGCCAGGAGGTCGTCGAGGCGGACAACCAGAATCTGGAGACGATCATGCACTGGCAAATGTCTACATTCCTTCCCGAGCGTCTTCAGCCCACTTTCAAGAATGGGTCATCGAGTTCATCAACCTCATGCACCGCAAACGGGCCTTTGACATTGAGGACTTCTACAGCCAACGTCTTACGCAGCTGACACCCTCCCGCAAAGATCCGAACGACGAGAGTGCCCTTCTTCTCGGCAAGAGCTTCGAGAAGCCCCTTAAGAAGACCATCTCGAACCTTCTCGCTGTTCAGAAGCGCGAGCTCCTCCACCCCGAACTCGCGGGCGACTATTCTTTCCCTGTTCTCCCTGGGTCCCATCTCGCCGCCTATACGGACGGCGCCGGTGCACGCTCAGGCCCGCTTCTCGAGCTCGTCAAGTCTCTCATGCAAGTCCTCAGCCTGGACCGCAATATCACGCTGGAGGCGCGCCTGCTGCGCAAGGAGCTCCTCGCCATGTTTGACGTCCGCGAATTCTCCAAGGGCGCGACGTTCCAGAACCCGAGCGCCAGCCTCAAGATGCCGCAGCTCAGCTGCGATGTGTGCACCATGGCGCGTGACATGGATTTCTGTCGTGACGCCGACCTGCTGCCCGACCAGGGGCAAACGCACAAGCCTTGGCGGTGCGGGTTCTGCGAGGCCGAGTATGACCGCAACACCATCGAGGAGAGGCTCATCGCGCAGGTCGAGGGGTTCGCCGTCGAGTGGGCGAGCCAGGACGTGCAGTGTGAAAAGTGCCACGCGCTGAGGCTGAACGAGTTCATGGAGCACTGCGTCTGCAGCGGCGCGTGGGTGGAGAGCGTGAGCCGTGAAGACATATTGAAGAAAGTTGCAGTGTACGGAAACGTGGCCAAATTCTACGGCTTGAGGATGTTGAAGGAGGTGGTTGAAGGCTTGAAAGCTGGGTTATAGAGCCGCGGAATGGCTTTTTAAGGGAACAGGACGACACGCGATATCACAGCGTTCGATGGTGAAGGCTGGAGTTAGTATCACGGGAGCGTGGCCTCAAAGTTGGTATCAGGGTTATGTGAAGCCATCATATCGTAATATATAACATCTCATCAAATCATTTGCTTGCTCGTCTGCGCACCACCAACAATTGCGACCTCTGCAGTGTAGACAGATCCATGGATTCAACGTTGCTCCTCAAGGAACTTTCAAAGTATGCAGAGGCGAGTTGACCGCATAAATGTATATCGTGTCTTTCTGTCCATGACACCGTCAAGATAGCATGTTCCAACCATCTCCATGCCCATTTTCTCGGTCATCTGGCTGTTTTGCATGGTAGATTCGACGATGCTTTGGGGGTCTTTGTGCATGTCGCACCTCATAACCGCCGGCATAGTGGCACCGGGAATGGCGAAGATGTGATCTTTGCCACCCTCGACGTTCAAGGGGGCAAGCCCGAAGAAGCCTCGGCGCGTCATGATGGGCCGACATATCGAGGACATGGATGCCATAACCTCACGAACGACGAGCCTAGCGTGGGCCATTTCTGCGTCGGGCGGGGCGTCTTCACCAGGCGGGAGTTTGAAAATATGTATGGGGTTCTCATCATGAATTATGTCGTTTCCCCAGTCCTTTATGTCTGATGCCGCTTCTAGAGAGAATGTATCCCAAACACAGGCCAGAAAATAAGGTGCATGGCCTCAGTCCTGGGGCAGCGAA